ACTGAGCTATCTCCCCGGCCCTATAGATGATTCTTTTTAAGAAAAAATTAGTTTTTCTCATGCCTGGGACTGAAATACAGAATGAGTTGATTTCAGCTGTGCTAGGTAGAGTCTACCAAAAATGAAAAGAATGGTTTGGATTAGAATAAGCCAAATGTGATTTCTATTTCTTGCTGGGTGATTATAGACATTGTCGGTGAACTCATGCTTTGGTTACTGTAGGGGGCGACATTGGAGATTCAAGCTCTTGGAGAAATGGATATTCTGTTTGTTACATGTATGTCACATAAGATTTGCCTACAGAGTAGAATTTGAGTAAAAATATGTTATTTTACCTAATGGTATACGCACTACAAAAAGATGAGAGTGCAGGTATGGATAATTCAATGACACAGTGATATTTAAAACATAAATATTATGAATTATGATCTACTCATTTATACAACAGAACAAGCATTGATTTCTTGGACTTACTACTACATGCAGTAACTTGGAAAATAAAGAGAGCTAGGAAGGAAATTCTAAATTTTTATCTTTTATCTTATTTGTCTCCTTTAGGGACAAGATCTCACTATGCAGTTCAGGTTGGCTTTGAGCCCCTTAATATTTCTAAAGAGAAATTCTCAAGTTAATGAGTAGATCCACAATCAGATTTTTGAAAGCTTAATTGTAAGATTTAGAAAATAAATACTGTTATCCATATCCTACTTTTCTCCAAAGAGAATTAATGCATCACCACTACTTATTGTCACCTACCATTTCTGTAGTTACCTATTTTGATTCATACACATAGGTCAGTGTGGAGAAAAAAAATCTTATCTGATTTGGAATAAAATAGAGAGCGAGGGAGGGAGGAGGGGAGAGAAAGAGAGAAAGAGGGAGAGAGACTACATTATACCACCACTTAAAATATTTTGTTTTAACCTATCATTTTATGTCATTCAATTATTATGCTATAGATATTTGGACCAGTACAACAAATCATGAAGTTTAAGTCTCTGGATGATGTCATCAAGAGAGCAAACAATACTACTTATGGATTATCAGCAGGAGTTTTTACCAAAGACCTTGACAAAGCAGTGACAGTCTCCGCCGCTCTGCAATCAGGGACAGTGTGGTAAGCCAAGTGACTGGAAGTTCTATTTGCCTTTCTAACATTAGCCATATTAACAGCTTAATTTGAACTTTTCAGATGCAATTACATGGCCTACTAAGATATTACATAGCATACTAAAAACAAACAAAACCAAAATAAGATAAAACAAACAGAACAACAACAAAGAAACCCAAAGCATAGATAAAATTAATTGCTATAATGGCAAAATGTGAAAAGAAGTTTTTTTCTTTCTTTTTTCTTTTTCCTCCTCCTCCTCCTCTTCTTCCTCCTCGTCTTCATCCTCCTCCTCCTTCTTTTTTTTTCTTTTGTGGCCAGCTCAGTGCAGGATTGATGCAGCATGTGGTGTCGGTGATTGAACTACCATCCTTGAGTTTGCCTAAGCAGGAGCTTTAGACTGCTGAGCTATCTCACTGGCCTCAAGAGGGGCATTTTCTTTAACTCAATCCAGTCTTTTGGAATTACTTAGCTAAAACATTTCATGAAATTTTTTTATACAGTAGGAGTATGGTTAAGTATTTTCTAACTACTTGACACTGTTATGTGCAAAGGAAATTAAAGAAAAATTTCTGCTTTAATCGGGTCTAATCAGTTAAGATAATCGTTTTTCTTTTGGTACCCATGCAAATATTTATTTCTGATTTTTTTATGTCATTATGAGCGATATCTGAAGGTCATAATTTAGAAGAATATATTTAATTTTGATGAGCATCTTTTTCAGTTTTGACCTATTTTATATAGTTAATTTTTGTACTTTAAGTTTTAATGTCTGTTTTAAGGTGTGTTTCTCAAACTTTTATGTGACTTGTCCCTCCCTCAAGGTCTGCATTGTTTTCACAGTATTATTTTGCCTTCATCTTTTTTCCTACCAATAGCTGAAGATCATTTTTCTTCTCAGTCCTATCCCATTTTTTAATGAATTAGACACTGACAAGTGTCCCTGTTGATAGCTCTAGAGTTTTTTTTTCCATGCCATAAAGAGTTGTTGTTTAGTTAACCCTTATTCTCAGATGCACCATGTTGTTTGTCTAACCATTTAGTCCAAGCTGGCCTCAAAAGGTAGAACTCCTTTCTTAACCTCTAAGTGCGAGAAATACAAAAATGTGCCACTGCATCTGCCCTCAGTATGATCTTGTTGCCTTAATGCATGACAGAGCTGAGTGGGAGACTAATCTCAGTGTCTAAAGAATGGCTCTCAACCTTGTCTCTCTGTTAGCGCAGAATATCCCTAATCCCAAAATCAAAACTCCAAAATGCTTTGCAAGGCAGCAACATAAAACTCCAAAGATTTGAGATCCCCAGGAAGCAGGGTATTGACTCGGTGAGGAACTGACCTCGCACTTCTTTGGTCCTTGATTCTTTGTGTCCTTAATGAACGAATTCAGTGAAGACACAAATGCAGCCATGGAGATGTATAGGTAGAATTTCTGTAAAATACATACAGAGAGAGTTAAACCTTTAAGAGTGAATGTAGGCAGTGGGAAGTTTGAATATATTTACATCCAGAGGCATTACTCCTGGAGTTCAGGACACAATAGTGATTATGATGCTTAGTATTCTACCTAAAAGTCACTTCGGAATTATAACAGTGTCTTCCTATCCTTTTCAGGTGGTATTTCTTCAAGAGCTTTAATTACGTAGGAAACTTAGGGAAGATATATTCTTAATTCAAACCAGCCTTAAGCCTAAAGAATTGTCTTTAAAGAACATTTCTTCTCTGATGTTACTATGTGGTAGGATTTAGCTTTCAGTAGGGCTGTATTCCGTATTTGGACATTAGATGTCCAGGTATCAGAAGGAATGTGCCAAATGTGTAACCCTAAAATGTCACTGAACGTGGTGGAATTTCTTTAGGTCTGAGAGCTACAAGTGATTACAGATGTATTACACACTGAAATCTTTGTTTCTTTGGGAATACACTCTGTTTTGGGTCCCTCTTTACTTCCCTTCCCCCCACTTTTATCCCTCAGGCCCACGAAGGTCTAACCACCTGCCTAACATTTGGTTTTAGGGTAAATTTTAACTCTGATTTGGGAATCAAGGACTACACCACTAAAGTTTATGCAAATACTCCAAAATCTGAAAAACCCTTAAAATATAGCAAATTTTTTCATAAAATCAGTATGGCCAGTGATGAATGTCGAAATTTCCTGTGATAAATTGTGAGCATAAATCCTTATTACCATTGCATGCTTGCACATTAGCTCTGTTTACTGAGACTTACCTGTGTAGCAAGCAGTTCCATGAGCAGTTTACGTAGATAGACCACAGCCCGAGGAACAGCCCCACTGAACATTAGCATCGCTGTGGCACAGATCAAGGAACGTGAGAGAGAATCCGGATAGCAATTTGAACTCAGTTTTTTTCTAAATGGCTATTTCTCAACCTTCTGTTACCCTGTTCTAAAATAGTTTCATTTTCACTGTAAAGTCAGAAGATCACAATTGTTTTCTGCATGTTTTACCAATGAAAAACCTCAGGTGATCTCTTGATAAAGGAGCTTGTAGGGCATCATCCCACTGGCCAGGCTTGGGATTCCATTTGGAATTTCTGACAGGACATATGCTTATTACTTTATATTCTAAAGTATACTGATATTCATTCTGCCATCATCTCAGATATAATGTCTGCTTGGTATTTAGAAGACAGCTATGGAATCCCAGCATTGCTGGTACCTTTCCAATAATTTCAAAGTCTAAGTCATCAATCGAAAGAGCAATTAAAGCATAAAGCAGAGAAAGTCTTTTTTATTTTTTTTACTTTTTTAATTCTATTGAGAAACTAATATCAATGAGACAGTTTCAAAACTGATTAATAGGACAGTTTCAATAATCAATACATTGTACATTGTTATCTTCTTAGTGGTTATCCATAGTCCAAGATGCAGAAGAATATCCTGTCCAAACACTATTAGTACAAATCTTTCTTCTCACTGAATTAAGCCAAAGTAGCTGTCTTCTTTGAAGTGGAGATTTACAACTGAATGGTCCCCTCTGTAGGCAATACTTGGAAAAGGGCCTTGTGGCCCAGTGAACATGTAGAACTCTGAGAACTGGGATAGTAAGTGTTTTAACTGAGAAATAATCTGAATGTTATTTCAAAATTAGGACCGGGGAGATAGCTCAGTAGAATAAGCACTCACCTGGCAAGCACAAGGTTCGGAGTTCAATCCCTAGTATCACCAAAAAAAAAAAAAAAAAGAAAGAAAGAAATCAAAGCCATGGCCAAATTCTCCCAAGTATAATACAGTTTATCAGGTCACTCTGTTGTCTGTATACTAAAGTATCATGATAGGAGGGAAAAGTATAAGAAACAGAATTTTTCTGCTTTAATTTCTTTTTGCCTTTTGTGTATAGTGAGAATCACCTGTGTAATTATATTTTCTGTTAATAATGACCAGGAGGAAATGCAAATCTAAACAAATTGTTCATAGCCTGTAAAACTGTATTCTAAAAACAAACAAACAAACAAAAAACTGTGTTCTAATTTCTCAGTCTTATGTTTATTTCTACCACTTTTTCTTTAATTATATTCACATTTTTGTTTTTATATTTGTTTAAAGAAATCTCTTTAAACACTTCATGAAATTTGAGAAATTAATTTAAAAATCCAACCCTTGCCAAGGCCTCTATGTTAGCAAATTTTTGAATCAAGTAATGAAAAAAATGAACTGATTGGTATGATACACATTACATGACAAATTAGTGCATTTTTGAGAGAATTATAACACTTATTAAATATAAGCAATAAAGAACACCCAGACAGCAAATTCCAGTCTCTAGGAAACCATATTTTGCTTTCTGGTGCATATTGGTTCCTCTATCTTTTATAATTCAAACTGTCATTTATTAGCGTTATGATGCAATGACTATTCACATACATATTTTATTTGTTTATCTTTAAGTAGCATATTTATGCTTCTTTCTACATTCTGACTTATATAGTTTTTTAAAAATTTGAATATGTTATAGGAAAATGTAGTTCTTTAGAAGTTTCCTAAATTTCTAAAGTTCCAAATTTATGAGTTACTATATAGGTTAAGTGTTACCTGACACATGCATCATTTCTTTCCTTCTTTTTCTTTTAGGGTAAATTGCTATAGTGTCATCTCTGCTCAGTGCCCCTTTGGAGGATTCAAAATGTCTGGAAATGGAAGAGAACTGTAAGAAAAATGTTCTATTATGATAAATATTTACCTTGATAAAAGTGGTTTTCTTTCCCAGGGAATTAATTCATGTTCACTATCACAAATAAAATGTACCTTTGTTCTTTCTTGGATATCCATAACACCAAATCATTTATCAAATGTTGGATTATTCTATAAATGCAGAAATGCAAAGCAAAAGTTAAATAGAACTTATTGAGCTTCTATAGTTCAAGAGGGACCATATTAAGCACTTTACATTGCTGATCATATTTTGCCATCTTTTTAGAACTGCTAATTATATATATATATATATATATTCCACTTGAGAAACATTTGCAGTAAGGAGGTAGGAACTAAATTGGAAATTATAAGAAATGTAAGAGTGTAAAGAACACTTTATTTGAATATATCTCTGAAATAAATGACATGCCTTAGAGCAAGAGACTTTATCATTAACATGACTGATTCTTATTTGCCACAATTTAAATTATCCGATTGATTTATTTTTGGTACTAAAATATAAACTTAGAAGGAAATCAGTGCAAGGAAAACATGCTTTATAGTTGTCTCAATAGAGAATATATATATATATATATATGCATGTATGTATATTCATGAGCTCTTTCACTTGAAGCCAAGATATACACTTGTTAATATGTACATACAGTACACACAGTAATATGGCATTTCACTTGATTAATTTTTCAAGCATGTTTAACCATTTTACTTTTTAAAAGATTTTTCCATTTAGTAATAAGCCATATTCCACTAAAACAATGTTGATGCATCATGTACAACCATTTTAGGATAAACATTGCACAAGCCTACAATTTTGTGAAGAACAAGTAAAGTGAGTCTGTTCTAAGGGCTCTGAACATGTTGGAGCAGCCATAAACCCAGTGATTTGTGTTCGTTAGCACAATTACAATGAAATAAATACCTTTGGGGAAACAAAGAGGAGAAGAATGACATCGTGACTGTCTATTTTCTCAATGCACATTCTTTGCCTTTTTGGGGTGACCAAAGTCCTAGGCATCTCAGTCACTTCGTGCTCTGCTCCATATTCTATATAACTGTGCTATGTAGAGGAGAAATATGTTTAAAAAATGGAGAATACAAAAGGCTCACGTGCAGAATGAATTAGGTAGTACCAGACTGGGAGTTCCTGCTTATGAAGTCTGGGGCTTAAAGTGCAGAGCCAAGCACCTAAGGACAGAAAACTCTGAGTGCCAACAGAGTATAAAAATGAATACACAGTAGCTCTTATTCTCATAATTTTCATCTATAGAATGAAGTCAAGCTTTGAGGGAAGGGAAAGGAAGGAAGTATAGTTCATAGATAGTGGTATGAGATAAGTGGACAGGTTTAAAATTCTATGGTTCTAACTCCAGTAAGAATTCAGGAGATAAAAATTTAATGATAATTGATAAGGTATGAAAAAGCTTTACAAAAAAAGGCATGAGGCTAGTGTAAGATATCAGTAAATAAAAAAGAGGGCCTTCTTTGAATGGAACATTAGACATGGGATGCTCAGGGACTGGGGAATTTGTTCAGTTACTATGGATTTCTGGGAATGAAACAAATGATTTTAAAGAGAAATATGATTGAGATTAAACTATCCTGAACTCAAGAAAATTGGTTTTGATCGTAGTGAATGGTGACAAGCCATAGCCATCTTTAGAATGTCTCTGAGTCCATAGATAGTGGCATGTGATAAGTGGACAGACTGCAGCATAGACAGAAGCCTGACTGACCCTCATCAGAGTCTTGATGCCATCAGTGGCCTTCCAGGTGGCTGTTTCAAGTTGTCCAATATCTCAGCCTTGTTACTTATATTTAAACCTGAGATATTAACAGCCATTCTGCTTGTGTGAGAGCTATCTGGTATTCTCAGTGTTCGATTACTAGTCCTGTAACTGTCCAGAGTAAGAATCCAACATTGATTTTTTTCCCTTTTATAATTTCTTCTCTTTATAATGTTCATTACTGGATAATTCCTTGGTAGAATTAATTACTTTGTACAAAAGAATCTAATACAGAGTTTAATTACTCTTTAGGGCTGCTAATTCATTGTTGGTCTAGCTATCGAACACCTTTTCCTTGGAATGTTTATAGAATATTGAAAATGAATGAAACAATAGTAGACAAAATATGTTAACTTTGTTGAGTAAAATTTTGCCAAGCTTTAATAAAGCTGAGGCATAAGGAAGCCAAATCTGAGTACTTAACACAGGAATCAGCGACCCATAATTTCTTTCATATCCGTGGTATATTATACATAATTTTTTCTTCAAAAATTTCAGTTAGGGGTCAGGGATACAACTCAGAGCCATAAGTACCTGCCTGGCAAGTGCTAGGTCCTGAGTTTGATCCCTGGCACACACACACACACACACACATACACACACACACACACACACACACGTGTTAGCTAAAAATATTACTATTTTTCCATAATTTTATTGAGAAACAAATATCAATGAGACACTTTCAAACCAAATTGGTAGCACAGTTTCAATAATTAACACATTGCATACATTCTTCCTAGTGGTTAATTGCTGTACAAGATGCGGTAAAAAATATTACTATTAACATCTCTTTAATAAATTCAGTGAACCCAATAAACAAGTTATCTCTTGCAAGGTGTTTAAAGGAAATCACAGAAGCAATAACCTCAAATGACCCCCAAAAGCCAAATTATAGCTTGTTCTGAAAGATAAAAAAAAATCAATTTTGATCAATTGGGAGCAGAGCCCTTAAAAAGCCACAAAGAGTGGAGTGCACACTTTGATACACACCTCAATGTGTCTGATGGCGACCCTGAGTAACCAAAATTTGACTTTTGAAACTCTGATCATTGGATTGGTACTGGGATAGAGTCAGCAGTTGGAATCTCTCCCTCTAGGTAATCACACTCATTATCACAGGAGTTAAGCTAGATAACCTGAGACTTGACTGGTAGGACATTCATAGTTAACTGATTCTCAGTACCCTACAAGGTAGTTTTTGTCCCTTTCAAAAAAGAAGAGGCAAAGAATGTAAACAGCTGGGCTTTTAGTAAGTTATATCACATAAATGTCTTTTGTTTGATTATATTTGCCAGATCAGTTCAGCCAAAATTTCCTCTGTGCCTGCTTAAGCAGCACAAATCTCATTCCTGGGCACAAAGGGAAAAACAGACGTAATTTCTCACCAGGACGTTTTTTTTTTTTTTTTTTTTTTTTTGCATGGCCCACAGATAGAGAGCATAAATTTTGTATGGACATTTAGTAGAAATGCAGTAGAACTCACTCCAGACCTACCGAAGCAGCATCAGCATTAGAATAAGATCCGCAGTGACTTGTATATTGAGGTTTTTAGAAACACAGAACCAGTATCTCACAGACAATAAGATGAGGAGAAACGCAAGCAGGTGGGCTTCTGCACTGGCATGGAAGCAGCGCACGCTGTGAACCCTGAGGGTGAGGACCCATTTCAACCTGAGCGGACAACGTTCACACTTACTACTCTCCTGAGAGCATCACATGCCTCTGGAAGCCACAGTACAGCACAAAGTCTATTGGTGAAATCACAGTTTCACTCATCTGCTTTTTGGAGATAAAATACTTCACAAAATACTATCATTCAATGGGTCTCAGACAGCTGTGTACAAACCTTTTAATAACTTAGAACATGCTCGTTGGAGCTTATAAAGGTATTCTAAAAAGCTTAGCTGTCACCCCCCCCCCCAAAAAAAAAATGATCTATAAGAGGACAAGATTTCTCAGGAGAAAAGATGTATTCTACATACATCACAATGGAGGGGAAGGAAAGAATCAAGATTTTACTCCTCTTTAAATCTTTATGTGTCTAGGTGTTAGGACTTTAAGCACAGTACCCCTGCATGTAATTGGATCTTCTCATCAAGACAATACAGAGGGGTCAGGGAGATGGCTCAGTGGAATAAGCGCTTCCCTGGCAAGCGCAAGGGCCTGAGTTCAATCCCCGGTTCTGAAAAAAAAAAAAAGACAATACAGAGAAGAGCTGAACGCAATTCTTCTAGTTAACCTGTCAACAAAAAAATAAAGCACAGTTTCCAAAAGTGTGAGAACAGATAAACCTGAGAACAAGGGTCTATGGTAGGAAGAGACTGGCTCATGTTTATCGCTGGTCATTATGTAGTGGACTTGAGTTATACCTGCTAGGCCAGCAAGATAATTCAGCAGATTATAACCGTGGTTTAGGCAATCTCAGGGGCCATCAGTTCGATCCCCTGCGTGCAGACCCAGCCCTGCCTACGGGGCATGCTGAGATGGTGACTGAGACTAGGTGTGGTGGCATGTGCCTGTAATCCCAACACTTTGGGAGGCTGAAAACAGGAGAATTACTATGTAGTGACACCCTGTAGACCTTGTACTAAATACAGGAAAAACAAAAGAGTTATACCTACAAATGACAAAGGATGTGTCAAAAACCTACATTTAGGTAAATTGCTTGCTCCTCTGCTTCGTATAAAAGCATGTAAGACATCAAAGAAGAAATAAATTTTAGTAATAAAGTTCAGGCTTTTGCTTTGCTAAGGTCCAAAGATGTTTAAAAATGTAATTGCAAAAGATTAGGACAATTTGAATGATCATGGTTGTGAGGTCATTTTTCCATGGTACATACTGGTTCTGCTTCAGTTTACAATTTTTGGTAGTACTCCTGACAGACTCTGTAATTCTACTTGTTTTTTTGTGTTACACCTGCCTTATTTTGAATACAAACCAAAGTAATGATGATAAATTTCCCATTGGGTTGAACTGTCTTCTGAGAGTTTGGAACTTGTATATGCAAGTAAAATAATGTCGAAAGCAGACAGTTTCTATCAAAATCAACTAAGAGGCATGTAAAGGAAAGACAGTATTTTTTCCAAAGGTGATTTATGTATGTTCAATTATGGTCAGCTAGGTTCTGCTTATAAGAAAAAAAATTTCATTGTCCTTACATACATAAATAAGAGAATGCTTGTATCACACTAAGACTTATTATGTATATGCAATATTGTACTTAATAGTGTTTATGATAATTTTCTTCTTTTTTCTAGGGGAGAATATGGTCTCCATGAATACACAGAGATCAAAACTGTCACAATGAAAATCTCTCAGAAGAACTCATAAAGCGCAAAAGTGGAGAGAAGATTCTTCAATAATTCAGCATCTCCTGTAGTCCCCAGTATAGTGGAATTTAAATATGATTTTTTTCAGAATTTTTTAAACATAAGCTAATTGTATTAGTATTACACATCAACTTTAGCTTATTGTGAAAGAATCATTTTGCTTTTAACATGTGACCCTAAGTCCTAGCCTGCAAGACATGGATGGAATTGTATGTAAGATCTCTCTAGTTCTGTCATAACCGCGTGCTTTACTCTGTAACTGTTCTGAAGATAATCAGTTTATGGTACAGGACCAGTAGTCATGTAGGTTTTTTCCCTTAATGACTCCTTGAAGTACTTACTGTCTGTGTTAACTGCAGAGTAAGTTGCTCTGTTCCCAACACTTACACTGTCCTTGAAGTGTTTTGAAATGCTTCCTAGAATGTCTAGTCTGCTTGTCAAATTAAATATTTAATTGTAGTCTGAATATGAAGCTGAATAAAAGCCTTGCATGAATCTTATTCAGTCTGAATTATTTTTAGTTAAAAGTTTGTGCTATAGAGATTTACTCTTCCTGTCTTTCAAGAGTCTTAAGTTGAGCATAAAGATGTGTGTAGAAAAAAGAATCTAATCTACTTATTCTCAAAAGGGTGAAGACGTGTAATTTACTTTCCACAAAAAAACTTTTGTAATCCTATCAGTCCTTGAGATAGCTGGGAACAGCCCTTCATACATAATTCCTGCCTTCCTCTGAAGTTCTAAGGGGGAGAGTTGTACAAAGGAGAAGGAGGAGTGAGTGGTCCATTGTGTCTAGATGTTCTAGTTTAGAAGAAAACAAAAGCAGGTCCTTGCAATCCCTCTCAAAAGTGGGGAGAAAACAAATAGAATCTAACAACCTTAAGAGAGCCATCATGGGCCAAAGCAATAGTGATGAAGTCTAACTGAAGAATGGGTAGCTGAATGTGAGGGCGAATGAAGAGAAAGTTGGCAGTAAGCAATAGGGAAAGAGATTTTGCAACATAATTTCTCAGGATATGTTTCACTGAAAAACAAGCAGAGACAGTTTCTCTGTGAAAGTTAACTGCACCATGCTTCTGTTTTACCCTTAACAAAGACCTTCTGACTCTTCTGTGGAGCTTCCTTGGAGGAAGTGACAAGGCCCAAGGAAAATTGACAGAATATTGCAAAATATTCTGAGATCAATATCATAAATTTAAGCTTAGAGATCTTTACCATGACTTTGTTATTTGGATTGAGATTTTTATCTAAATAGTGTAGTTTACTGGCCCGGCCAAATAGCTCAGTGGATTGAAGCACCTGCAAGCAGGCTCAGCGGCTGGGGGATTTAATCCCCAGGCCCGCCATGCTGGCCCCGCCATGTGTAGTTTATAATTTTAGATTGATAGACACCCTAATAACACTGACACTGACAAGTATCACAACATAAAAATTAGCGAAAGTCATCAGCTTCTTAGGTCTGAAATAATTTCAACTCAAGTTTAAGGGTTTCTCAAACCTGTGTAGGCCTGTAAATACATAATTGGACTACCTTCTGACAACTGGGGCATAATGATTTTGGAAACTGGAGGAACCCGAACCATAGAGAAAATGGAAAGTTCTCTGGATGTTGAGAAGGAAAAACACCCCAATACAGAGGAAGGCTGAATTTTCCTAAAACTAGACGGTGCCTTACATTAAAAAAAAGTTTAAAACCAAGTGCAAATAAATTAATTAGGTAGACAGTTAATATTACAATGGCATCCTACCATAACTGTTTACTATATAACAAAGAAGCCTGCATGCAGCGAAAGACAAAAGCCAGAAGCAAGTTTAAATATTTAAAAATTAAATCTTCATTGTATAAATAAGACATTACAGGATTAAACAGAAAATATCTGCTTTATCTTAGCTTGTCCTGAGCCTCAGGACATTATTTGTACTCTATTGTTTGTAGAAAGCCTTAGTAGCAATAATTCTTAGAACTTTAAAAAGTCAGAGAGTATCTTATTAGTCTGTGTGTAATTTTCAGTCACAAGTATAATCTCACTTTTCTCAGCTCCACATGGAAGAAAATAATACCAAACTCAGCCACAGAAATAGGAATTATTCTCTTGGCAGAGAGTCAGGACTCACACAGCTTCTCAAATGTCTAATCCAATGAACATTATTGTCTTTTTTTTCTTTATTTGTCTTGTTTTTTTCCTCAAGTTTTTTGATGTAATTTGTTTACTTTTTCAGAATATATGCTTCTGCTTTTATTTTGAAATTGTCAAGGAAAAATAGGCAGAAATAGTTGTCTTATATTCTTGTCATCAACTAAAAATAGACCCAACGCAAGGTACAAATTTTTAACAATTCCTTCATATAACTCAAGAGAGAATAACAAACTCTAAAATACTTTTTCCCTTGGAAATATGTGTCAAAATCTAATAGGAAATAGAGTTTTACATGGGTACCACGAACTAAACATCTAGCTTCTAGTGAGTTTCTCAGAGTATTCTAAATAACCAGACCACATTTTCACATAAAATCAAAATTCTCCACTATAATTTCATTTCCCAACTTACCCTGGGACTTTTTCCCTCTGGAGATGGTCTTGAGCTGTTCAGTTTTGAAAGGGATAAATATAGAGAAAGAACAGTTCAAGATGCTAGCTAGATTCTCTAGAAGCTCAAATTTAGTGGCCCTGGGTGTGAGAACTATCATTGCTACAGTGCCTGAGGACTGTGAAGTGTCACACAATAACACCCTGAGTGGTGAAGCATCTCTCTAAAGACCTCAAAATTATCTGTGGTGGTGTGAAGCAGCTCCATGACATGTAACTGAACTGGCCCTTGTACTGCGTGTGGAAGGTTCATTGCAGAGAAAAATAAAGTCTCATCCATAAATATCAAAGACAGGGCTGGCCAAATAGCTCAGTGGATTAAAGTGCTGTTTAGGCAGAAGCATGGGCTGGGGGTTCAATCCCCAGGCCTGCTGTGCTGGCCCCACCCCTGGGGAGTGCTGAGAGGGCAATTAAGACTGGGCTTGGTGGCATGTGCCTATAATCCCAGCTCTCGGGAGGCTATAAACAGGCAGATCACTAGGAGTAGTGAGACCGTGAGCACCCTGTAGACCCTTCCATAAAAAAATACAAAAACAAAACAAAAAAACCCATAAATATCAAAGACAATTTCCAAATCACCTCTTGAAATATCTACACTGAAGGAGCAATAACACTCTTTGAACATGTGCTGAATAGTTTTACAAAAATTTAGTTATGTATACTTTAAATGCATTTTTTTATTCATAGAACACAAACATGGTATCACTCTGAAATGATTTTACTGATCATCACCAACTTTTAAGGCTTTTGTCTAATTTTCATTAATTATTTAAAGATTCATCTGTCCTATAAAAAGAGAGTAGATATTAAAGCTCAAAACTGTTTTATGCTGGAAAACAATTTTTTAACTTTTTATTTTAAAATAATTTCAAGCTTTTAAAGATATGACAGGCATACAAAAGACCCAATACATTTTATTTACTAATTTTTAATATTTTCCTCCCTTGACTTTATCACTCTTTTTTTTGTATAGACTCATTTTGTCTTTGAGACACACTTTTAAACACCATACCGTTTTAGGCCAAAATACTTCAGAACACTTTCTTTGAAATAATGTCCTTTTTTTTTTTTTTTTTTTTTTTTTTTTTTTCCCACAAAACCATGGTGGAATGATCTAATTCAGAAAATTTAACATTGACCAGATGCTGGCACCTAATCTCAAGCAATGTACAGTTCTCTCTAATTGCCCCACTCCATGCCTTTTATAACTCTTCTCTCCATGATCCAACAATTAATGCGCAATCAGGACCTGCACACGCAGCTGTCATTCTTTCGTTCTGTCTTCTTATTGCTTAGTGACTGGACACAACTCATAAGCACGTTTACTGCTCAATCAGACTGGTCAAAGTTGAGCCCGCGAGGGAAACACTAGAAACACATCAACTGTTAATGAACTGACAGTAATCAGCCAAAACAGGGCTGATGGTTTTAAAGAAAACACTTTGTCTCAATATTTGATTATCAATGATCATCTTTATGATAAACCAGGAAAGAATATTTATGTAACATGAAAACTATGTTCCTTTTCTCACGGGTAATTGTAAAGAAACCATTTTTAAAGTTCTTTTAAAGGTCTGTGAAGATAGTAGTGTCTGCTCCTTATGTGACTTGTCACAATACTGTCCTTCACCGTTGAATTTCCTAGTCTGCGCAGGTGAAATAGCTCAGCATCATGGACTAAGCTGGCCACTGAGACAGGGTGGGGGATGATGGGAGGTGCAGGGTAGGGGTGGTCCACACCTGTAATCCCAGTGTGGGGAGCTGAACACAGGAGGATCACTATGAGTCCTAGCTGCATAG